CCTTTCTAGAGTCTCAACATCTTTTTTACATCGTGGTGACCGAAACTGGATGCAGGATTCCAAGTGTGGCCTTACTAAGGCATTGTAAAGTGGTATTAATACTTCACGTGATCTTGATTCTATCCCTCTGTTAATGCAGCCCAGCACTGTGTTGGCTTTTTTGGCAGCTGCAGTAAACTGCTGGCTCATATCTAAGTGATTGCATTCATTCCTGAATTGGAATAACATCCTTGGGTTCAAAAAAGTTCAGAATCGCTGCACAGACTTGCCTTCACTTGTTTTGCTTGTTTGTTCTATCTTAGGTTTGATGGGTCACCTAGATCAGCATTTCTCAACCTCAATAACTTTAAGATATGTGGACTTTAATTCCCAGGGCAGGCTGGGGATTTCTGGGCGGGCGTTAAAGTCCACGTACCTTAAAAGTTGCCAAGGTTGAGAAACTCCGATCTAGAGATAGACAGGGGCTCTGAATGCAACCTATTTCAGACTTGAAATGTCCCAATTCAGCTCTTTCAAGCAGGAAACGGTTGCTTGTCTCATTCTGAGAGTATTTCAAAGACAGACCTGTTTCAAGTCTGAGACACGCTATTCTGAACTCAAAGCACTTGCAGACTTTTAAAGAAGGATATTTTTAATCTGAAGCACTTCTAATACTGACTAAGGGTACAACCTCTGGATTACTAGATGCAGAGGGGCAGCCAGCATCTCCTCCCAAGAGGCACCTTTGCTCCAGTCACCGTTCAGAGTGCAGAATGTGCCCTTCTAGCTCACACAGGCAAAAGTCGCTGTGTTTGCATTCTTCATTCTTAGAATAGAAAGATGAAGCATGCCTGCATTTTCAGTGCAGGAAAAGCCACGGCTCAGCTTTCAGAAATTTGGGAAACATGGCATGTTATCATCTATACTTCTGTACTACCCCAAGCATTTGGTGACTTTGTGTTCCAAACAGGGTTTGGAGTTTTAGTTAGTTCTGACTTGAACTTGGGTACAAGTGATATCCTGGCGATGTCCAGTGATCAGGATCACCTATAGAGAGCCTTCTTTCTCTCCTCTGGGCCTGGCATAAGGAACAAGCGGGCACCATGGTTCTTCGTCCCTCATCTGCCATATCTCAGCTAGCTAGTAAAATTGTTTTTATAGCAAATAGTTTGGGAGTTCTTGTGGTACAACTTCCTGATCAAATAATCAGTGGCCTTTCGTACAGCATACTTCAGTATTCCTTCCTTTGGGGGTTGGCTCTTTATCAGTTCTTCAGCCTGGTTCTTTCATCAGAGAATTAACAATTTCAGGCATGGAGAGCACTGTTTTCCTCCGCAAATACTGCTGTTTTATTGTACACTTGTACCTCATCTAATACCTGCATTGTGTGATGAAGCCTGTAGGGCTTGTACATACTTGGTACCACAAGCACTGGGTGTGAGTAGAAAACTGCTCTCAGCACTTTCAGTGAAGCATCACCTTTTAGTAAGCATACTATTGTAGAATGATAGAACATCAGGGTTGGTGGGGCCTTCGAGGTCATTTAGTTCATCTGGCTGCCCAAGCGGTAACCTGAAGGCCCATCTATTCCGTGCGGCCGGCCTGGCGTAGTTTGATTATGTTTCAGTGGGGGTTTTTTTACGGGTGTGTTTTTAGAACAGGCCTGTTATTTAATTCGATTTTAAAACAAACTATTTATTTATTATCGTGGTTTTTAGTATTGCCTGTTCATCGCCCCGAGTCCCGCAAGGGAGATAGGGCGGTATATAAATTTAATAAATAAATAAATAAATAAATAAAAACCTGCTCTTACAGCATTGTCAAGAGATGGCTGGCCGGCCGGCCTGTGTTGAAACAGCTCCAGCAAAAGAAAGTCCATCAGTTCTCAAGGCAGCCCATTCCATTGTTAAACAACTCCTAAGGTTAGGATAGTCTTCTTGAGGTTCAAACTAAATCTACTCCCTTGCAGTTGAAACCCCTTGTTTCTTGTCTTGTATTCTGGACAGCTCTGAATATTACTTCTGCACCTTGTTTGTGGCAGCTTTACAGAGACTTGAAGATAGTGATTGTATTTCCCTTTAGTCTTTTCTTCTCCAGGCATTGCCCGGTGTCTCCAAACATTCCCCATCCGTTTGGTTTTGTATGCCTCTTGTAGACTTGTTTTCCAAAAACACTCGAGTGTCCTTCTCAAAAAAATGTCCAGAATAGAATTTAATGTTCTAGAGCAGTCTAGCCAATGGATAACAGAAAGAAAACCTGATTTAAAACCTCTATCACTGGAGGCTTTTAATAGGAGATTGGATGGGCATTTGTCTGGTACAGGTTCTCCTGCTTAAGCAGGGGGTTGGACTAGAAGACCTCCAAGGTTCCTTCCAACTCTGCTTTTCTGTACTCTGACGTTGACACTGTATTTCTGTTGATGCAGTCTAGGAAGATACCAAGATCCTTTTGCATCAACAACTATTAATTAGGGATCCCTTCTCCATTATATATTTAGTTTTTCATACAAGAATTTGAGGCTCTTCATTTGTCCTTGTTCTAATAATAATAATAATAATAATCTTTATTGATTAGCCCGTGGGCCATATCAAGGTGCAGAGTTCCAAACACACGTTATACTAAAATGCAGTAAAAACAATTTAAAATGGAATTAGTTAAAATATAATTTAGGATAAAATAGAAATAAAATACAATTTAAAATGAAATTGGGATAAAATACATTTTTAAAGTGAAATTAAGAATCAAATGTGGCAATTTAATATATAGATAGATAAAATGTGATAAAATTATGCTTCACTATCCCCCCTACAATCTACCCCAATCGGTCTCACATATGCCGATCTCAGCCGAACCATTTTGCTCAGGTATTGTGCTGTGTTAAATGTAATTTTCAAGGTCTGGCCGCACATAAGGTAAGTTATTTTGATATGGGGGTCCCAATGGGTCATCCGTTTAGAGTATAGGCCAGTGGTGGCGAACCTATGGCACGCGTGCCAGAGGTGGCACTCAGAGCCCTCTCTGTGGGCACGCGCGCCGTGCCCCGGAGATTGCAACCGTCCCTCTTCAACCAGTCACCTGCTAACTCGCCGAGGTCCCACGTGGCCGGATGCATCCCGGCATGGCTGGTTTCCCTTCCCCCCCCGTCCCATCCCTCCTGGCCTTGCATGCTCTCCTTTTCCCGGGCACGACCCACTGCATCACCTCTTCAGCTGTTGGCTGGCTGTCCAGCTCAGAGGCAGCTTTTCTGAACTGCTGGTGGCGGGCTGCGGAACCCCAGAGTGCACTGGTTGAGGGGCTGGCAGGCCGGCAGGCCTCTGTGTGCGGGGGCCGATGGTGTTAGGCAGCAGCTGCCCTGGCCCCTGCTTCGCCTTGCCCTGCGACAGTGGCACCCCCACCCTGCCTTGCCTCACCCCGCAGGACGAGCCTCCTGCCCACTGTCCCACCCACCAGAGACCAACCCTGCCCGGCCCCCACAGGCATCCCTCCCCACGAGCAACATCGAGATGACCACGTCCAACTTGGCCACACCCTCCCAGTCTGCCATGACCACCATAGCCACGCCCACCCAGTGGGACACGCCCACCTGGCACCCGGTGATAAATAAGTGGGTTTTGGGTTGTAGTTTGGGCACTCAGTCTCTAAAAGGTTCGCCATCACTGGTATAGGCCCAGGTACCTGTCTCTCACCCTCTTATACGGGCAGCAGTCAAACAGGACGTAAACCAGGTCCTCGACCTCTGTCGCTCCGCAGATGCAGAGATGTCCCTTATAGGGTATAGAGTGGAATCTCCCATATCTGACCATTGTGTCAAGCTGTTCAAATCTCGCTCGCGTGAATATTTCCCTAAGATGTTTGGGTAGTTGTAACTTCAAATAGCTGTCTGTTCGAAAAGTGTGTTTGTGTGTTTGCTCAGCCATTTCAAGTTACCCACCTTACTAAGGATGGCTATGTCGTTTTGTGCTTCAATATCCTTAATTCTTTGGGTGGGCAGCTTTATTT